TTTTTATTTTATTTAAATAAATTTTTATAATTAATAATTAATTAATTATTATTAATTAAAATATCACTTATTATTTTATATAATGTGATGTACTGATATGCCATAATAATAATGATGTGGTATGATGATATAATTATTAAAAATTTTCAATGTTAGTGACATATGGATATAAAATGATAAAAGTGATTTTGATTAATGATAATTAATTAACTATTAGGTATAAGAGTTTGTTTAAATGAAATTAAAAATATAAAAATTTGATTTAATATAAATAAAAAATAAAAATTTATTTAAATTCTCTTGAATAATTTAAACATTTTTCAAAGATTATATGTTTCAAATATAATTTTTGAGATCGAAAATATTTAAGAGTAATCATGAAAAAGAAGTTTGAAAGCATCTTTCCTCTCCTATCCTATCCTAGACAAGAAGAATGATTTTTGCACATTTAAGAGTAATCTGGGTTGTGGACAAATGCATCGTCGGCTACTAAATTCGATATGATGTCTTCGCAACTTTAATTGCAAATGTGTGCCGACAAAACCATTCCCATTGCTTAATTTTGGAAAAATACTTGAAAAGAAGTTCCATGTGCTAACTAGTTGACGAATTAAGAGAATGATGTATGTACTGGTCATTGGATGTGAATGATCGAGATTCCGTACATTTGATCATTTGCCAATTAATGTTTGATATGATAATGATACATCAGTTTTTTCTTTTTTTTCTGATTTGGATCGGATCGGATTGAATCATGTGTAAATCTGTCATTATGGTTTCCTTTGAACTACATACTCAAAATATGGTTACTTGAACTTAAATCAATTGGAAAAAAGGTGAGGAGGAATTTAGGTTAAGCTTGCATGGGTACAATATTCATTATGGGTATGTGGAATACATTTTGAACTATTTTAGGGCCATCATGTCTATGAAGGCAAAGGTAGACAAAATACTGTGAACATCTAATCTTACAGCTGTCAGCTACCATTGGTTGGGCATTTTAAACTTTATTGAAGCTTTATAATTATCCAGGATGCTATGACTCTTCTCAACCCTTCCTTCGTTTCTCACAAGTGCAATATGCTTTAAACGCCTTTTTCTCTTTAACCCTTGAAGAAACAACCCAATATATAAAAGATGGTCATCTTCCATATAAATCCAGGACTTCAAATTAATTGAAATTGTAATTTGTAATCGATGAAATATCCTCTTAGAAAGCATCAAAACATATGTTAAATTATAATGTGGGACGACAAGAAAGCGAATTTCTTTTGTTTTTGTCGATTCTTGAGAAGCTCCATTCAACACGTAGTATGCATCTTCAACTTTGTTTTCTTGTCAATTACACAGAACCAAGTTGCCAATAACACTGCCGTCATGCATTTCAATTTGATCAATCTTGGTTAAAACAAGAGTTACAGACTTATTACACTTCACATGATTGTACGTAGATTTCTATGAAAATTGAAGAGTTATTGCAATAATATATTTTATTCCATTCTGCATGTATGTTTTGTCAGTAGGAACCAGGTCCCATCTAGTACATTGATTATTACAAGTAGATATTTTATCTCCCTCCAGTTTTACAACGATGTGATCGATCCTGTAGGCATCCCTATTATGATATTTTAAGATAAATATTATAATATTTAACAGTTTCATAATCTAGTATTTAACCTTTTCATTGATCTCTTTTAACAACATCGCGGATCAATATTTTTTTTTTTATCTGTCCTTGCCTTACGAGGAATCTGTAAATTTGGAAGCGATTAGGTACTGGATTCTTGCATTTATTATTTATAATTTTTTTATATTATTGTGAATGATCAAATTGTTTAATTGTCCAAGAGAAGCACACTAATTTAAGAGTCTTTTTCTTTTTGCTATTTTTAGTTTAGTTATATAAAATAAATATTTCAAAATGCATTAATTTTTTTGTACATTTAAAAAGAGCATACTATTAAACTTTATGTATAATTAAATTATATTAATTTAAGATCTATTATGTTAAGAATTTAGAATGCAAAAACGTACTTACTACTTCTTATACGATTTCTTTTTTAAAATTAATTCTTGATACATAATTTAATAGTAAAAATAATATTAAATAAATTAACCATCAAAATTCAATATACTAAGATACTTTTCATATTTTTTTACATAACTCTCTAATGAATGAGATTTTAATATTGTTGTGTAGGCAAAAAAGAAGACTTTATTTCATATTTCATATAATAAATCTCTAATCTCACTCATCATAGATTTTAAAATTTTCTATATAAACTTACATTTTTAAACCCACATATAACATTGGAGTCTAACTCATTTTATTAAATTATATTTAATTTTATTAAATTATAAAATTTCCTCTTTAACAAAATTAAATTATCTTAACTTAATTTTAATTTTACAGGAAAATCAAACATATGCATTATATGAAAAGTGAAAGTAAAAATAATTTTTTTTATATTAAAAAATTAAATTTAAAAAAATTGGGTGACTGAAAATAGAGATTTGATAAAAGTCACAGCATTACTTTTTTTAGTATTGTGAAAAAAGAAAAGGCACACTTTTATTACATTTGACAAAGGTTTTAATAACCAAAAATAGAAAATAAATAGAAAAAGAAAAAGGTAAGAAAAAGTTGGCATCTATAATAATATCAGATTAAGTACTATTATTATTGATGTCAACTGTTTTCAAGATTCAGCCGATTCTATTGGTCGCCATGCACCAAAACAGTAGGATCTCTGTTGATTCTCAGCTGGTCAGAGTGAGAAAGTATTTGGATAAAGCAAATAAAGAGTGAAAAAAGTATGATATGACCATTCCAAATTATGAACCTTGGGAGTCGTTTACAAGAAATCTGTGGATTTTTTGCTTGAAATCTCAGTCAAATTTTAGCTACATATTCTTAAATATATTAGATTTGCAAATGAATCCATGTCAATATATTAGCAAAATAGCTGACAATTAAGCAACTTCAATTGGGCTAGAGTTGAATTGTTTCAAAGTTTTGGGTCAAAAAGATTCAAATAATTCAATCTTTTAATGTATTTAAATTAGATTAAGTTATGTACAGATATTTAATTTAATAATAAATATATATTTATTAAAAATAGTAATTTTTGTTATTTCAAAATACCTCATTTTTGCTATAACTGGTAAATTTTGTTTTGAATGGATCCAACCTCGAATACATGGAGATTAAATTATTGACTTTTCGAGTTACCTTAGGTTAAGTTGAATTTCGGATTAATGATGCATATTTATTCCAATCACGTCAACACTTATTATGTTTATAAAATTACCATATTAAGTATTTCTTCTTTTTTATTTACGTAAATATGACATTGAAATAATTTAATATGAAATTAAAAGAAATCTTCTTGTTGTGTCGGAGTCAACTCCCATTCATACTTAAAAAACTCACAAGGGTTGTGTTGAAATATCTTTATCAACAGTTAACAAAAAATCAAATTCATACAGTAATTTTGTGTTATGTTGTAGGGATGAGGCCCCCCCACGAAGTTTATTGTTGTATTGAGACCTTGGAATCCCAAACTTCATTTTCAGCTCTAAATTGAAATGGGAAAATAAAGAAGAATTGGAATGATAACGACAAATAGAGGTAGCCAAATGGTTTGCCGTCTTCAAATTGATATTGTTGTAGTTTATTGGGTTGATGCCGACGGAACATATCTTTGGCCTGTTTCAGTCGAGCCTCACCTCATGGATGCCTTTTGCACTAATATATCAGTGTTTCCTGACAAAATTGCAACAGCTGCTAAGGGCCTCACTGCTAAATTCATGATAACACTAACTTGTCTTAAATTTGAGTGTTACTTAGTACTACTCTCTTCTTGATATGGATCAATCCAACGTTTAATTTTATTTTTTGACATCAAATCAATCCAATTTAAATAGAAAATGATGACACTGAGCAACAATCTAGTTAATCCGTTTATATTGGAATGTTAAACGTTTTTCATCTAAAACAAATTCACATGATACCTCAATTCACGTAAATAAAATAGATTAGACTTAAGTGAGAATTTCGTGTTATAATTCAAGAGCTTATTGAGATTTTTTGTATAAATGGAATGGCTTTCCCTCTAAAATCTTGGGTAGTTCAAGCCATCAACTGCTTGTAACTTCAGTTTTTTCTTTTGATTCACAAATTAAGCAACACACAAAGGGGAGGAGGAAGAAAGAAGGGACTTCAGAAGTCTAATAGATCAAGATGATGAGTTTTAAGGGTACAACACTAGGCATACAAACTTTTCCCATTCTGATCAACCCCACCATTTTCGAAGATTGGAGGTCCCTCTTTTAAGGACAAAGCAAAAGATACTTGACTCTTTACTTTCACCTTTCATTGGACTCTTGCTTTTAGGATCCATAGACAAGCAAACCTTTTCCTGTGATCAAAAAGGAAAGTTTAAGATAGGAATCAATAAAGGGACTGTAAAATTTCAGCATCTTTTAAAAACCAACTAACTATACCGACAATGACTTTCTTCTATTGATTTTAACAACTTTGTTCTGCGGGAAAGATACTAGCAACAGGGCTTGGATTTTTTGTTTTTGAAGTGAATCCAGCTAAGGAAACACCACCACCCCAAAAAGAAATAAAAGATAAATAAAGGGTGGCTCCAGCCTTTAACATGCGTTTTAACTAGTCCCATTTTAGTGTCTAGGCATCAACTGATATGTTGCATAAGGAAAGTTGTTTAGACCACAGTTCCATACTTCAAATGTGTCCATAGTTTTGCCCACTATAAGAATGAAAAGTGAAGAAAGTTGTTCCGCATTCATTTGCCAACAAAATCTCCTATTCCAAGCTGGTTCCTTCAAGTTGAGGGATAGATTTTTTCAACAGAAGACAATACTAAATTTCAAAAACACTGAAATGCAGACAGTTTGACATGATGTGACCATGGGCTTATCAGCAAAAGTACACACGTGAACATGTCCTATGCAGTTGAGCATGAGCAAGGTAAAACCGGAGAAGATTTTTATGAAATTAAAATTGCAACAAGGTCAACAGGCTTATCACCACAGTCAAAGTCATTTGCCCCTTCTGACAAACTCTGCTCTTCAAAGTGCAACTCTAATACAACAAATGCTTCCAATAAAACAACTAACGGTGATTACACTACTGACCACAATCTGAGGAGCAAAAAATGTACATAAGACTCCTATTCGTTTTCAGTACTATTCCAATTGACCATGAGTCCAAAACAAAAGAACGCACAACATTGTAAGCAACAAAATCCAACTAGCTGATGACCGGTTGCAGGATCAGAAAACATTGGACTTCATATCAGCTGGTATAACTGAGACATCAATTTAAATTATAAAAATTAATTCACTGAAGGGGAGATCAAACAGCTTAATCAGGACATAGTAGCCACCAAAGAAAATAAGCCAGAAAGAAGCAGCATAAAACTAGGTAACACAAAAAGAAGACGTGGACATGATGGCAGAACACAAAATACTGACTTGAAATGGTTCCAAGATTCTGTTAGTTTGTTAGCACTATAAAACTTCTTTATATCATGTCCTGGAGCCCAAGTGTCTATTCCCTGCAAGAAGGGTTCTTTTTTTCTTTTAATTTGGTCACTGAGGTTTATTTTGGCAACTGCTTTTGTAAGCAATATAGTGTGTTAAACGAAATACTACTCACCTGTATATGGTGTTATGTGAGCTGGGCCAGGGCTACAGATATCTTAGCACCAACAGCAGCATTGTTTTTTACAAGTGCAATGTCTAAAGCTTTGTTAAGAAAACCAATGCAATAAGTTGAACAATATTCACTGCTCAATGCAGCAGCTAAAGAATACCATAGAATGACTAACAATAATAATTTATTTGTACACAAAGCGAATTCAGATTAGAATAAATCAACTTACTAGTGTGCACTATGCCACTGGACACAAAAAATTTGTCCACACAATATAAAACAAAATATATAATTATTAAACTCTTAAGGATACTTGAAGCAAGTGATGCTCCTCCAGTTAATTCACTAACTCTTGCAAGCAAGAAAGGAGTCTCAGCATTCCCTGTTACGTTCTTTTCTCTGAAGATAAGTGTACAATCATCTAAGTAGGTATCAAACATATGATAAAAGTATGCATGAAATCACAAAGGAAACTAAGAACTCCAGATGTTTAATGAGCATAAAGCAATTTCAACCTAGCTTCTGTAAGGGCACGTTGTATCGCAGACTCTATTAAGCTTCCAGAAGCTGAGTGTTCTTTTGGGATGGGAACCGCAATTAGTACTCCATTTCCGAGATGAAGTTTCCGGTTAGCATCTGTAATCAATTTAAATTAAATAAAAAGAAACAAAAGAAAGTGACCATGAATTACTCTATTTGAAAAAAAAAAACACTAAATAAAAGATCAAATGAACTTTGTCAGTTACCAATTAACCGTGCACAGTCTTCTGGGCTATCCACACGACAAGGTACCTAGATTATTACCATCAATGAAGAAAAATCATCCCATTACATTTATTCTCCTTGGAACAAAGCATGTTAAATTGTAATTTGTAAGCTTTCACATAAATCTGCAAAACTATCTAAGATTAACATTCTAAGAATGTCTTTCTTTGTGCATGCATCAGCGCCACAGCTTCTCAATTAGACTTGCTTACTTGAGGTTTCACGAGAAAAAGCAGAATGTTGACAACAAATTAGGAGCCTTCCAAAATAATGTAATGTTCCAATTTTCCGAAAGAGAAAAATAAAGAAAGAGAGCAAAGAAAAGCAGTGAAGATATAAATAAGATTAATTAAACAGGATCCACTTTTCACTGATATTGACTTTGGACTATCTAATATAGAGACCACCATTAAAACAAACCGTTGTTACGTGATAAAGACAGAAATGTGACTTCAATGACCGTAGGGCTTGATGCCACCCCTCTCTTTGCAAAAGTCAATTTAAAAAGAAATAATATCAACTGATATTGACTGATTATTGTTTCAAATGAACTATTTCAGAAGAAAAACTCACAGTAAATAATATCAGATTTACCTTTTATTCTTAAAAGAGAATACTATCAGATTTTCGATAAAATAAGAATGCAGCATCAAGAAATGCTATAATCTTCTATAAATTGACTATTTATACCTTGCAGCCACTTCTTTCAGTGAAAAAAGCTGGAAACTCATAGGTCTTATAAGCACCAACACAAACTCCCTGAGTTTCCTGTATTAAGAACCAAAACCAGTAATTTTGTGTAAAACACTAATGATTGAAAATTCACAATCTGGAGCTGGATCTTTCAAATATTTGTACACAGAGTGATTAAGTACCAAATATTCCAGTGTCCTCGGAATATCTAATATCGATTTTACACCAGCAGAGATGACTGCTACTGGTGTCCTTCCAAGCTCTGTGAGATCAGAGGATATATCCATAGCTGCACTTGGAACATCAGAAGCAGCACAGTATAAGGACAAAATACCAAAGAGTGCCTATTCAAACGATCGTAACTGCTTGGGTGTACAGACAGAATAACTGCTCCCTTGCATGATGCAATAAGACAATCTTTCTTACTATCAGATGCCATTGCTGATATGATACATTAAAATCTCTTCTTTCCAGGTGAAAAGTGAAAACAAAAAAAATTGTCAACCTTAAACCACAGATGGCAAAACCCACAAGCAAAATTACTAAAGAAGATGGATGTGGTTGCACTTTGATGAAGAAAATAAGATGAATGAGATATGGCTCATCATAGAATAGTTCATTAGTTGCAATGTCTAAAACAGCATCTGGACCAAACAATTTCTAGGACCATGCAGATGTGGAAGTCCAACTTACTATGCTCGCCATGTCTATGAACTCCCCCAATTCCCCCAGTAACAAAAACAGGGATACCAACCTGCGAGTGCTGAATATGTTAATGTAACCAATAATAAGGATAAAAATTATGGCCAAGAAGGAAAAAAGAAAAAAGGTGATTGGCGCATTTATATGAGTAAACCATGAAAGTGAAAATTCTAAAGTAGTAGTCACCATGGCAGCAAAAAACATGGTTGAAGAAACAGTGGTTGCACCATTCCTCTTGGTGGCCACCTGTAAAAGGACATCAGTTAAGAACCAGATAAGCCCCTTAACCTTGTAGGATCTATGAGGTCAGTGTCATTTACTATTCCACCCTGCTGCTTATTACAAGCAGATTTCAAGTAGTTATTGAACTGAAAATATTCAAGAAAACCAATAGAAAGAAACAAATGATGCAGATGAGAATCCTTAGAAACACATACTAAAATGAATGAACTGTTAGCATCTGTAGATATGTGTGCTTCTACTTTATAATATGCAACAAATCCCTAGAGTTCAATGGAATATTCAAGCTGTAACCACTAAACCTCCAAAAAAGCCACAAGAATCAACACTCAGTCATGGATCTAATTAGCTGATTATCAAGAGAAGAATCAAACAGGAACTTATAGTCCTTCTGCAGCAATCTATATATGATACAACAGAAGAAATAGAGCAATATCTTCATAGAAACAATAATTTCAATTAAATCATTCAGATGTAACCCATTAATTTGCTTAATCTGAACAAGAAATGAAGATGTCTTGCAACCATAAGTTGTTCAGGGAAGAAGTTACTTCAAACGCTTTCACTAATCTTCATATCTCTCTATGAAGTAAAGTTTGTCCTCATAATACCATTTTCAATTTAACAAACCATAAATCTTTCCCCTAAGTAGATCCTATCAAGAAGAACAAGATAATCCTATATGGAAAAAATAATCTAATATAAATATATAAAAGCCAAAGCCTTTGGCAAAAAAGGCAATTATCCTATGTGGGTAGGCCATTCTGACATGTGGATGGCATAGGTAGGTGCCATGTGTCCCTTAATTAATGTGTTAGGTTTGATTTTATATATTTTTAATTTAAGAATAATTTATAATTACCAAGTTAATTGTACTTATTCTTTTTTTAAGATCCACTATTCTTACTTTCTATGAAAACGTTACAATTAATTTGGTCTTTAATATAAAAAAAATCAAAATTTAAATAGAAAGCTAATTATAATCATCAACATTTTTCCATATCATCTAATTAGGTACTCAAATATGTTCTTTTACTCTTCAATTCATAATTTGAATTCTAAATTAATCTAAAAGACAACCAAATTAATTTCATATATTTTGGTTTCATAAAAGGACAATGATGAAGAAGTGCAAAAACAAGACAAATTGACACATGTGAAATTCTTCAACTCCAAAACCTGTACATGTACAAGCTCATATGGCTAATCTCTTCTCTATTATATTTTTACAGCTCTGAAATTTTCAAATATGTTCCAAGTCTTATGTTTAAATCAATATCTGTTCAATGTGATATAGTGAGATCCAATCATATCATGGACAATATCATGATTTAACTTGAAGCGGAACTAATATCCAAGTGAGCCATCCTGGAATAAAGGGAAATTAATTCTAGAAGCAGCTAAAAAACTTTATTAGTTTTATTTTTCTAACACCAAGATAAAAGTAATAAAAGGCTTAAGGTAAGTGATAGTTATTTTCCCCAAATAGCTTAAAAACTTTGATTCAACCCAACTTTTTATTTCAACATTTTGCATATCATGTGCTTTCTTTTTCTACAACATTTTTATTGGATGTTTGAAACTTATTAAAACATCTACAAAAGGTTAAGTGTCTCACAATCTGTTATTTGGATATAAAAATTTAGAACACGTTATGCATTTTGAATACTTAAATATAATTGTCAAAATTTTCTACTTGCGTATATATTTGCATACATAAAACTAACCCCACATCACATGGGTCACAAACTAGTTTATTGCGATACTCACAACATGTGCAATGTCCCTCCGAGCTGTCTTTTGAACACTTTTTCCCAGTTGGGCAAGCCTTTCCAGTTGTTCCAAATTCAAACCTACAGATAGGAAAAACTAGCAAAATTAGAACCACAGAAAACTATTTGAATAATGATATTAAATTTCAATAATTGCAGATGTCTGGCTAAGGGCTTGGTTAAAGCAAAATGGAACAAATCAAGTGTAGTGTGGAAAAATCCAGCCATGCCAAAATTGTATGAAGCATTTAAAAACATTGAAAACATATACTTAGTCCATTGAATTACCATGAACTATTAGAATGCTCTTCTCATTACACATTGCAAATCTAAAGAAAGAATTGATCAGGTTGGCTTATGGTCCCTAGTTTTAATCAATAAATGCAAATCGCAAATTCTGTTTATGCCAACCCCAATAATATTTGCTCACTGCTATCTGCTGCTCCAAGCAAGGCTATACATACTAATGTTATGTTTCAATTTCTGGAGAATAAAGTAGTAATATATTACATGATCATTGATCAGTACGCCAAAAACAACAAAGCAAGTAACATTAATCCTCATCGAAACACTCATTTTGAATATAAACATAAAAAGGGCTTAAAAATAAAGACCTACGCACGGTATGCCATCAAGAATAGCAATGGTAGCAGGAACAGCTCCATTTTCCCTCACAATCGCCTCCACCTCCTTGGCTGTTTCAAAATTCTGAGGATATGGCATTCCTAGAAACAAAAACAAAAACACACACACACACACACACATATAAAAACATCCATCAAATTACATTTGACAGACCTCCAATGAAATTTATCACTATAAAACATGAACCTTGACATTGGGTTAGTTCCAATACATTGGTTTTCTTTTTTTTTTTTTACAATAAATTGCCAAAGAAAGGCCAAACTCTACAATTTGAATATTCTTAAAAAGAAAAGTTGATAAGCTCCCCCATTTGTGAATTTTTTTTTTTTTAATTTCAAGAACCCAGTATATTCCCAAAAAGAGTTTTCTTTCCATTATCCATAAAAAGAAACAGAGCTCCCCAAAGTTCAAACAATAACCAAGACAAATAAATTGACAAATATAAACATAGAAGAAAAAAAGAGAGAGAAAGAAAGTATGAAATGAAAGAGTACCATGGGCAATGATGGTGGACTCAAGAGCAACAACAGGGTGGCCACTTGACAAAGCCTCAGAGACTTCTGCAGATACTTTGACTAAAGCGTTTGAGTTCGTTGGGCGAAGATGGTTGCTGAGATTCGATAGTCTTTTCAGAGCTGACGACGACGCTGATGATGATGATGAAGAAGACGCCATTTGTCCAAGAGCTGTAGAAGGGCCTTTGCTGTGCGGTGCGGTGCGTTCCTTTTATGGAGCGTCAAAGAAAAATTTGACTGATTGACGGGAAAAGGTGCAAGTGTGTATTTCCAATTGGAGTCGGATTCTTCAGCAGTAAGCACCGGTGGAAAAGATAGAAAATGAATTTGACTTTTCTTTTCCCCTTTCTGTGTTTTTTTCCGTCTTCCTAAGAAATGTTGTTATCTTTACTTTATTTCACCTTAATTTTCCTTTTATTCTTAATTAAAGAATTTCTATAATATCAGGGACATTTTAGCCAAAGCAGCGGGAAATATAACCACCACAAAACGGTCCCTCTCTGTGTTTTTTTTTTTCTCCCTATTTGCAACAATTTGTTTTCATGTTTTCATGGCTGCCAAGCTCTCCTTCGCTTTCCCATTCCCTCTTGAGAGATCCTCAAAACCATTTCAAAGAATCTCTGTTTTGGCTCTTCCACAGCTGAATCCTTGTTATGGGTTTTGCTTCTCCAAGAGAAACTCTGGCTTTAGAGGCCTATCTGTGAATGCTCTCAAAGAAGAAGTAATCCAATCAGCAAATTCAGAAACTACCCCTCATTCCCAAACAACTTTCCCTACTTCCTCTAAGCTTGTTCTTGTCATTGGCGCCTCCGGCGGCGTAGGTGAGCTCTCTTTCCTGCTTTTCTTTCCCTTCTGGTTTTGCATTTGTATAGTCCTACTGTATTGCTTATTTGGAGCTGTTACTTGTGAATTTATTCATTAAACAGTGTATTTGGCTTGGCTGGCATATTTCTTCTCTCTCTCCTTTTTTGTTTTTCTATTTTCAGAGGAAGCCAATTGGTTCTTTTATTGAGTTCCCTTTGAATGGAAATAAGAGTTACTTGGCTGTTGCTTTTGCTAGGCTCCTTCTAGTTGTCGTTTTTACTTGTTTTTGCTATATCATATTTAAGGGGCTAATCAATTTGTAGAATGCTTGAGCTCAACTCATCTGCAAAACTTGAGGCTTGGAACTTGGCACAAGCTCTAGCTCAATTAAGTTTTTAATTGGCATACATGACTTTCGCTTAAGATAAAAATTGATTTAGCCTAGCTCAACCCGAGCAGGCTTGATTATACTGTTCTAGATATTGCATATTGTTCTATCATATTACATTTATACATGCACATTTCATCAAGCTTGGAACAAAATCTTAAGTTCATTCGATTTGAGTGTTAAAACACTCAAACTTGTCTTGACTGCATGCTTAAGATTAAACTTGATTTAAATGATGTAGCCATTTGCATATACACTTAACCGGACTAGATGTATAAATAAGTCAGGAGGTGAGAGAGAGTGTCTTATAATTTATTTTTTATTCATATTTGAGGATTTGGGCTTCAACTGATCCCTTGGTGTACTATAAAACCAGTTAAACAAAAAGTAGGATTTAGGAGTAACCTTTGATAAATAAAAAGAAACTAACAAGGGTAGCGACAGACACAAGTATCATTGGGCTTTGGCAAAAAGAAGCAATATCCTCAAGCACCTGCTTCATATTGCTTCACACAGCCATTATTGCATTCATCTTTCTGGCAACCACCTCCACGGTGATGGTTTCTCACACATGCCTGCTGCATCTGTAATAATATAATTTCCTGCAAGAAACAACAAATATTTAGTCATTTTCTGGGAATTGTCTCACAAATTTTGGTGATATAAAGAAAATTAATAGTCATCTTAAGCCTTATGTTTTGATATAGAGAATATGACTTCAAATATGAATTTTCCATCTTTCAACATTGTTTTTTAGTGGATAGATAGAAGATGATGATAGTAACCAAAACAACACCATTAAAAATAGTCATTAAATAAGTATATTCACATTTTGGCTGCTATAACTCAATTGGAAATTTGAGGATGAATATAATAGCCAATTAGAGAAAAATCTAGAGGCAAGTTGTTGAGAGTATGGAAAGGGGCATGTCAGCATCTGTACCTGTTATCATTATATGATTAATTGTGAAGATATCTTACAATTATAGGTTGTATATTATGCTAAGATTAACATATTCTAAGTGAGCATATAAATTATAATTACAAGAGACTGTAAAAATAAGTAAACTGAGTTGTTTCTCTTTCACTTGATACAATCCTGTCTCTTAGTGTTATCTCCAAAGTGATTTTCCTCAAAATTTCAACCTGTTCTTTTCTTCCTGCCCTTTGCATTGGTTGCAATATTCAACCTTTTAGCTTTAGTAATATGGTAACTTATACCTAACATGATTTCTATAGGTTTAATTGAAAATAAATTCAAATAAGCTCTAGAGACAGCTTATATTTTAACATTTAAAATATATTCAAATTTTCAAATATACTTGACAAGTATATGATTCTAGATGAAAGTAAACCTACTGATTAAAGTTCATTTATATGGACCCACTGATTAAAGTTCATTTACATGGACTGAAGTTCATCCACTCTTAATCTTGTTTATTGCACTAAATGGAAAATGAAATGAATGGCTAGCTACTTTTTAAAGCCAGTGATAACAACCACATGTTGTTGCTTCTAGTATTTATGCAAAGAATTTGAGTGGAAAGTATCTATTTCTAGTATTTCATTTCCTTAAAGGAGCGTATGCAGCAAAATTTGTGTCTGCACTCCATATATTTTCTTTATTACCATATTTATCTGCCATGTTAGCATACAAGGAATGTATAATCAGTACATGATAATTGTCCATATTTAATCAGACATATAAATCTATTCCAATGAATAAATAGAAAATTCTTATTGACCAAGTTGGTTGTATTGAATTGTATTGGACACACTAACCTTAATCCTATCTGTAAACGAGCTTTAACTTTATCCGAACCATAACACAAAATTTTCCTCCTATTAATTTAAATAGTGTTATCCAATTTAACTTCACTATGCACTAATAACCTTAGAAAGTAATAAAGGAGAGTTTTTTTTGTTTTATTTCCTAAGGATGTAAGGCACCTATTTATTTTATTGCACATTCTAGAATCAGTTAAGCATATGCCCATAATATTTTCCGCTAAATATATATAAACTATAATTACTTCACCTTGACTAGTAAAAGTCTAAAAATCTTCTTTCTAGTCTAAGTAGCCCATATAGATAGTATCATTTTTTCCACAAACTAATCATCTCATGATCCCTCGTAGATAATAATGTCATATAGCTATGTTTGATCTGTCAACAAACAATAGTTCAACATATTCTCATACAATGATTTACAGCCTGAATGTGGTATCAAATAGTTTTTGTTAAGCTCCCATGTCAACTGACTTAGACTTGGGGCTCTGATTAGTTACGCTTTTAAAAATTGAGTTAATCATGAGCTTTAGATAAATACTAAAGTAGTGACATTAAGCCTCCATTTCATGACATAGTTCAAACTCACAAAGGGTTCAATGTAGATTCTAGATCTATGCAGCTCATATACTGATGAAGTTAAGATCCAATTAGTCACTTCCTCAATAATGCTGAAGAAGCATATGCATGTTAAGGTGGAACTCATATAAAAGAATGTCAGACATATGAACGTTGGTGTAGATGTTATTAAAGCAGTTAAGCTAAGAGTCTTGAGCTAATCACTTTATCAAAGCAGATTCTCACAAAATTTGGAGATGTGGAAGGTCTTCCCCTTTGACTAAATTATACAGTCTCATCTTGGTCATATACAAATTCTGCTTGACCATGACTTAAATGTTTTATTGCTCCTGTATTTACAATCCAACCAAGAACAAAAATGTGCAAACAAACATAAGCAATATCAACCATGTATGCATTTATACTTCTTCGGATTAGTGCATTTGCAAGCAAAGTAGCCCAATGAACTTTTGTTGTGATCAATGCCAAAACTTCTCTTGTTATTTATTATATCAGCAAGTTGTTCTCCTTTTTCAGGGCAGTTGGTTGTGGCATCTTTGCTGAACCGGAACATCAAGTCACGCCTACTATTAAGAGATCCTGGGAAAGCAACTACTCTGTTTGGTAACCAAGACGAAGAGAAGCTACAGGTGGAATTGTTATCTGATTTTGAATAATGCATGCTCATTGATTATGTTCCTCACATTTTATTTTTATGTTGTAAACAGTGTTCTTTCTTTAAATTTTTATCCCTTTCTTCAGGATGTAACATTTTATCGTAAAGGGCTTTTAAAACTTGATAGGTTTTTAAAGGGGACACTCGAAATCCAGCAGATCTAGATCCATCTATATTTGAGGTTTGCGCTTCACATTTAACCAACAAACCTTTTCTTTTTTTCCATTGATTTTCTTGGTACATGACATTAATTTGCCCAGTTCGGAATTTCCAAATGTATCGATCTTTCACAAATTTTGTGTAGGGGGTTACACATGTGATTTGTTGCACTGGAACAACTGCATTTCCTTCCAAGAGATGGAAGGGGGATAATACACCAGAAAGAGTAGGTCGGAATTTTCCTTTGATATCGCAATAAATTCAATATATTATTATCAACATTTTAATTTGGCCTTTGTCCATGGATTATTACTTGCTTAGTAATGAATAATAAACATAATCATCAACCTTGGTAGATGTCTTAACTACTTGTGCATTAACTTATTCATCCTTTGTACCTGGATTGTTGACAAACAAGCTATGGTTGTTTTAGTATTCATACATCTTTCTACAGAACCAATCATATCTATCACTTCGGTGCATCTATTATACCACATGTGTCTAAGTGCACATGGACAAGGACGGTGCCAGTGGGGTGCCTAGGAGGGCCATGACTGCCCTTGGCTTTTCCAAACTTATTTCCTAGCCCACCTAAGTTTTTTCATCAATTTTTTTAGTTATCCTCATCTGGCTACCCTTGAGTTTATTGAACTCTTTTATTTGTAAGTTAACTTTTCCAAATTTTTTAAGTTATTCCAGATTACTTTTAAATTTATTAAATGTATAAAATTTGTAATCCAAATTTCCTTATATTTTGTAGAATTGCTTGCATGATCATTTCTTTTTTTTTTGCATATTATTTGAAAAACATTGAATATAATATATGATGCTTTTTATGCAAATAAAATTCAAACTGATTTGTTTATTTTAAAGATCATGAAAATTTTCAAATATTACTCTATTAATAACTTAAAAGGTATTGCCCCCCTTAGCTTCCAGTCCTGCATTCTGTCCCTCCACGTGGCCTCATGCATACATGCACTAGCACACTTAGAGACAGTCATATTCGTCCAATGGTTTTGACTATGTTGTATTCTTTAAAGATTGGGAGGGTGTAAGGAATCTCATATCTGCATTGCCTTCATCATTGAAGAGAGTAGTTCTTGTTTCATCAGTTGGCGTAACCAAGTTCAATGAACTACCATGGAGGTAATATGAGTAATTAGTTGGAATATCTTTTGGATGTTAAATTATGAAGTTCATGATGACTTGCCTCTCTCTCTGTTAGCGTTGCACAGATTGTCTGGATATTCTTTTTTTTTTTCAATTGCTATGCTAAGAAGTGCGCTTCTCATTCACTGAACCAAAAAGGTCCTCATGTTGGATTACATGCCGAAAGAAAACTGAACAATCATCCATCCATTGTTCAACCCCTGTTATTCAAGGCCTATATTGAGAAATTGCAATTGCAGCCTCATATAAAAAGCAAATGGACTGTCATAAACTCAGTAGTCACTACTTAGTTCTGCCACATAATAAAGTATATTATCCTTCATAGATAATCTTTGCTGAGGTCTCATAGCATTCGGTTCTTTAGTGACACCCTTTTGAACACTTGTGATATATATTAAGCACCATGAGCCAAATAGTACAGAATATACCTGATCATCAAAATTTGACGCACGCATGTAGCTATTTGTATATTTGGTTTTAAGCTTTCTATTATGTCTTGTTTAGTTACCATCTAAATAGTCAAACAATGAATGCCATTATATGGTTTTCTCATGAGCAGGATACATATTTTTTCGTGACTTCAAACTTCACATGCATTATTGTTTCTACTGTATAAATTATTTTGGTGAAAGAGCTTGTCATGCCATCCCCTCCCCTGCCCCCACCCAAATAAAAGGAGACCCAAAAAAAAAAAGGGAATCTTCTTAATAGTATATAATAATCACAATCCACTTCATTTGATTATATGATTTAACTTAGTCTGGTATCAAACTAGTGAAGTTCCTTGCTGTGCACCTATTAATACTGCTTTTTGCTGCAAAATATCTGAGGGGTGATTGGTTTGCAGCTAAAACTTCTTATCAACTCTATACTTTGACATTATTTTTGGCAGCATTATTAACCTATTTGGGGTTCTCAAATATAAAAAGAAAGGGGAAGATTTTCTTTGCAAGTCTGGCCTTCCATTTACAATCATCAGGTAAGTGGCTAATGATAATATTTTTGTCTCTTGATAGTATTATTCTTGAATGCTTTTTCAAACTATACTCTTTTGTGTATAGAGCTGGTAGATTGACAGATGGGCCTTACACATCATATGATCTTAATACTTTTCTTAAAGCTACTGCTGGGCAACGCCGTGCAGTTCTAATCGGTCAAGGTATGTTAAAGCAGGTTTTATAATCGGACAAATTGTAAAACTTTTTGTATTAAGTTATCAAATGTAATTAATCTGCAATCATAGAAGGTAAAAAGGTTGAATGATTTTAACAGCAATATTTTTTGGGCCAGGAGTTAGTTGGTCTCTCACCATCGATTTCTTTTAATTCAGTTATTGTTAAAATAAAAATATTACACTTTATCCTTTTAATTGTTGGAGAAACTTATTCACAGGCCCTAATTTAATTGTTTAAGCTTTAAGGTTGAACAATCCCTTAACATGTTATCAAAGCCTCTATGACCTAGTGGTCTAGAGTTTGAGTTTTGGCTTTCCTATTATAATGATAATTCAATTTCAACTGAAGGTATATAGTGGGCTTGTGTTTAGTCCATGCTTTCAAGTCAATGAACTTGCATATAATGGAGTGTGCTAGAATCTGGAATCTACACTTGGACCTTACTTAACAAGTTAAATTTTAATTTAATTATTTTATCTATAAAAAAACCAATAATTTTGGCAGTGAAATCACTATGACCATCTATTGCCTTGATAATGACATTTTAAGTTATGCTGCAGAGACGACAGATTCTTACACAAATGGTTAAGTACATTATAAGCAGTCCATTTTATTAACATTCCTGTGTTTTTCTTTGAAAATGGCACAGGAGATAAACTGGTGGGAGAGGTCAGCAGGCTTGTGGTTGCAGAAGCTTGCATACAAGCACTGGAAATAGAATTTACAGAAGGCAAAATATATGAAATCAACTCAGTTGAGGTAAGTATATAGATTTGATAGAAAGAGATTGAGGGTAAATGTTGGCATTCCACACATGCAATCATTACATTTAGTTTTTCTGCAATTCAAGATCAATGCAATACGAACATAGAATCATTGAAACCAGTGTGATTATTGGAAGATGACAAATTAATGACTAGAGCTATGGTGCTATACTGAAGTATTCTTAAAACAAGTTCACTCTGTAAAATGTCTCATCTAAATTTAGCATGGTAAGTTGCTGTTTTCAAAGCAAAAGAATTATTTAACCAAATGTAAATTCTTTGTATGTTAACTTCAGAAAAGCCAAAGTAATTGCTGGTTGGGTATTACTTTCTATTAACTTGGTAATTATCTTACCACGGTGTGTATCTTTCTTGAAACTCTCTATGTTATGAAAAACAACTGTTTTTATGCCCTTCGATTATACCAAATTTAATCCTAGCAATTGAACACTGATATCGTTGCAGTAGGTATATAATGAACTTTTAGATTCTGATGCAACTCTTTGACCCTGAAAGGTTATGTTTCTAAAAATTTTTGGGTCCACCATTTGGTTTTGCTATATCGTTTCTTGCAAGAGCAGATGATTTCAACCACTGTCTTTCTCTCTTCGGTTTATAGTTCTGATTATACTTCACCAGTACTTGTAAATGCCAAACACAAAATTAATAATCCTCTAACACAATTTTTGTGGAGCAATATAAAAGTATATATTCCAGTCTTAAGAGCTCTCTCTTTATGCGAAAATAGCGTTAGGATCAGACTGTATTTGGAAAACCCTTCAGAGGACCACTGCTTTGAAGGAACCGACACTAGGCTATAATTTTTCATTTGTTGTGCATTTTATCATTTAGAAGTCTCAACTTAAATTGTCTAATCTAATTTGGTGAAATTATGGTCTGAATCTTTTAGAAAGAATACGTGCTTTACTAAAAATGTGTTTTATAATATTTTTTTGCTCTTCATCCTCGCTTGCATATTAGAGTAATGCACTATGTTCTTGCATTAACTATTGTAAAGATCATAGTTTTAACCACGATTGAGGAGTTGCTTTATTTTGCAGGGGGAAGGACCTGGTACTGATCCAGAAAAGTGGCAGGAGCTATTTAAAACAGCCCCAGCACAGTGAAACCTGATTCAGCAAACACCAAAGATGTGGCAAGAGTGAAGAACTCATACTGCTTTATTCACTGTGTATAAAATGCACATAGCTATAATATCCTGCTGCCGATTTCATGAGCAGCACAACGGGCATTATATTCATCTCTTGTAACAATTATGATCGTCTTTGCAATCCCCCTGTAAGAGTTAACACATTGTTTTGGAATTAATCTTATAAGCAGAAGAAACTTTGACCTTTTGTCTCAACTCGAATTAGTTTCTCATATTGCCCAATTTATTCTGGAAAGAGAGAGTTCGAGGGGCTATACCTGTCAAAGTGGAAAGCCAAACTCTTGCAAGGAGATGTTCTAAAGCAGTGTGGTTTAGAAACAAATACAAGAGGAAGAGTACCTCTCTACACTTAATCAGAAGAAACAAATATCATTAAGGAGACCGAAAATAGAAAGATCACTGACTTCAGATAATAGTTAAAGGTCCACAATGTGACTAGAACCCCTTTTTTTTTAATCACAGCAGTAAAATAAACCAGAGAACAAAGGTCTCAGTGACAACCAAGGAGAGTGTATGACAAATTATTGGCAGATGCCCAATCCGCAGTCCACTTCACCTAACACATAATAGCGAAAGCACAAGCAAAATTTAAATTTGGTGCTTCTTGAATAGATGTAGATCAAAAAGAGGACAGTGAAAAGGACGTATTTTAACACAGAAGCAGATTACTAAAAATATTTGAAATTTCACTTAATGACTATCCCTTGAACTGCCACTCTCTACGGCACATGGGACAATGTGCTTGAGAAGTCTGTGAATTCACCCATTTCAATATGCAATGAAGATGGAAAGCATGGTTACATGCACCCCAAACTGCAAGAGAACAAAAGACAATAAAATTCATTATTCATTAAGGAAATGGGTAAAGAAACAAGGATAATGACAATTCCATACACACACAGGATGCAGAAAACAAATTCTGAGCAAATCAACGAGATAGAAATGAAGAAAATCAAGGAGGAATCAATTTGAATTGTTAGAGAAAATTATGCATTACATTTGTAAATACGTGTTCTGTATTTGCTCCATCATCTCCCTTTATATAAAACTCATAGCGGAAGCTGTAAATTACGCAAAATAAAGGAATTACCCTCTTTTTTTATAGATTTTGCCACAAATTTTACTGCATTGTTCCCTACATTTTGCAGACTAAAATTTAGTGAATAGAGAATCTGCATGAGAGGATACAAAGCATGGAAAAAGAGATATCAGCATGTGACTGACATGACGGTCCCCATAATTCAAATGTAATTCTCTCTTGCCAAATTATGCACCTTTATGATACACAACTAGCAAAAAATTAAATGCTGGATTTGTGCAATCTTGTGAACAATAAGACATTCAAATATATATATATTATCATATCAAAAAGTGTCAATGAGTTGTGATTGATTGATTTTGGACAAAATTTGCTCCTTCAACAAATTTGCAAAAAGGAACATGAAATAACCATGCTTTGCAAAATGCTCTAACTTTGCATATTAATTCCATGCACTTCCAAGGAATATACAAATTTAATTTGGGTTGTTAAGACTCCAATAAAATGGCAAGGCTCTACATTATATAATCAACCATGTAGCAAATTCCCCCATTAGGTGCCTACTCTTAAATCCATGTCTAAATACTCTTGTATCTCTTTCTCTTCTTGACCAAACATACATACATACATAAATGCATACATGCATACATGTGAGTGTGTATAAAATTGAAATTATCATCGAAAAGAAATTCTAAATAGACTTTAGATCATATATTATTGACACTTCAAATGAATGCTATTTAAAAATTTTAATTAGCATTGTTCTCGTAATTCTCCAACAAGTAGAAAAAAGAAATAGAAAAGGAATGGGAGACATGTTAAGCTAAACTGAAAGGCAAGAAATATTTAAACGCACAGCATCACAAAGAAACTCCTTTCAGGAACTAAATAATGACTCAATAACATGAGAAACAATTGCAACAGTACTACCAAACATGACAACTCTGGGGACGGACTTACTCAATGGGCAATCATCACCAGGGAGTTTACAGTCAGAACAGCAACCATCAAAGGCCATCCTACAGATTCCACATGTTTCATCTTGGGCATCCCATGTCCATGAAGCAACAGCATGCCATCTGCCATCATGAAGGGCAACAATTATGGATCCTCATCATTTAAAAAGGAAAATTCAAGGAAAAGCATAACCAGATTGACTATAAGGAAACAAAACAAGTTCTGGTAGCTTTGTTCAACCAAAATTTCACTAGTTACATTAGGATACAAGTGATAAAGAGAGCTTACTCTGTTCATAGCCCAACAGATATTGAAAGAGAAATGGGTCAAGAGAAAACCGCTGTTTCGAGTGACAACCAAATGTCATATTGACCACAAACCAGTCCAAGTTTATATCAAAAAGTTGAAATATATCCTTAGTACCATTTACACCACACCTGATATCAATCAAGGGGCAATTGCATTGCTTCTTATGCATGAACAATTTAAAGAGTTGAAGAAGAAGCAAAAGAAAATGCTAGTTGGGTCAAATCATATATATGCTAAAAATTGCACACACACGCACACAAAAAAAGGTACTATAGCAAAATAAATCATATATATGCCAAGAATATAAGAACCAGCGGAATATATCATGTTTATGCTCAAGATTAACAAGAAAGAGCCATGTCAAAATTTGGGAAAACCATTACACCTAAAAGGATTTTTATTTATGACCTTAAAGCTAGACTATACATACTAGTCGCAACATTAGAGTTTGCTCAGAACTCTTTGAGGAATGATTCAAGCCAATCAAGTTTTCTGTTGAATTGACTGTATTGTAACAGATCAAGTAACAAAATATTTCACAAGAGGAAGACGAAAAAAAAAAAGGCCAGGAATATTCTAAATCATGAGGATACGTAGCAGCTTGACTTTCATCTTCTCCTGCAAAACCAACACCTATGTGTAAGAACTTCCCCATAGACAAAACAAAAATTCATAAAAGAAAAGACTCATGTTTTAATCGTTCTAGAAACTTCAACAATATCAGCAAGATTCCATTTTCATTTTATATTCATTTCCATTTGTTCTGTTTCCTCACCAACCAAACTGGCATAAAACAAGATAGTCAAAGTTTTGCTGCATCAGTTCCATTTTTGCTATTCATAGCCATACATATGAGAACATCAGAAAGACACAATACCAACATTAAAGGAGTAAAATTGTATCGTCTTTCATTATCATACCAATTTCAAGTATATGCTTGACAAGAAAACTACTATCACATAAAAGAAAAGACAATACTTATCCAAAATTCTGAAAACATGTAAAAGGCAAACAATAAATTAAGAAACTAACTCTTGATGGAATAATATACAAAAATTCGAAAAAAAAAAAAAGACCCACGAGCTGAGATGCAGAAGAGCATTAGAATTTGAATAGAAAAGAAACAAACAGATGAAACCCAAATACAAATTCTAAAACCCTTTTGGGTTTCTAACTTTTTCCAACCAAATAATAAGAAAAACCCAAATACTAAATCACCCAATAGGCGGAATGCAGGGCTGCTTTTGCATAGATCATGACTTTATTCAGTGACTACATTTTGTTTTGAAGACCATTCCTATAGAACGTTTCCAAAATTTAGAAACAAAAAGAAACCGGGAAAATTGTTTTTCTTTTGTTCTTGGAAATGAAAATGGATAGTAATTATACCTGAAAGTCTGAAACTTTGAAATTGTTCTTTTCTCCCCTCTATCAACTTTTCTTTGGGCACACCCTCTATCTATATTTTTGGTGTAAAGCTTTTCGTCGCTGCTTCTCTTGCTTGTTCCCCCTCAATCTATTTTTTTGGTGTACAGTTTTAACTTGCCAGGATGGAGGGAAGCTGGGTTTGGTCTGAGGATGAGTACAAACAAGGTAATTTTTTAATAAAAAAATTCAAAGTTTTTAAAAACATAAATGGAGTATTTTATTTACCTATTTTTTTAAAAATTCAATAAGTATATATATATACAACTTTATTTATTTCATTTATAAGAATAAAAATCATATTGAAATGATTACTTTTTATTCATATTTAATAATGAGAGTGAAATATTTAATTTTACTAATGGAAGATATTTTTATACGTAAAAGAGAATACTTTTAGCTAGTAAATTAATCAAAATAAAAGATACTTAACTTTCACATCTAAATGCTAATTTCAACATTTTTATAAAAGTAAAAAGAAATAAAAATGTTAAAATTAAAATTCTTATGGAATTCAATTCATGTGTTAATATCCTTACAAAAAAGAAATTCATGTGTTATTGATTAATCATTCAAATAATTATTTTAATTAGAAATTACCACAAAATTCAACCTTCTAGACCTTGAAAATCATTTTTATACCCTTGTAGCTAGAGATTGTTAAACTTTATATGCAATTAATCTATACTTATTCTAAAATTTATTCTATGATTCTTGATTCATGATTTGATAGTGAAAATCATACTAACAAAATTAACTATTAAAATTAAGTATATTAGAATCTTCCACTTATTTAATCAGCAACACTCTAAAGGCGCGTTTGGTAAGGGGTACTCCTCAAGAATTTTTTTCTTCTAGTTGGATTGTTTTCGAAAAAAGGAAATAATCGTTCTTCCTCAAAATCTCAAAATTTTCATTACACCCCGTGATATTAAGTATTCAACACCTGATCGAAATATTTTAGACTAAGATGCCTTTGCTTATTTTAAAAAATTATGAACTTTATTGCGTCTTAGTGACCAAATACAACCACAATGAGCACTATGTTGGCATTCCATAACGTCGATCCATTTCTTGTGGCCAATCAACGGAAAAGAAAAAAAATTTAAAAAAAAGAAAAAAATTAAAATAAAAAAGTTTAAATTTTTAATTATAAATTATAAACATAAAAGAAAATCTGAAGATTTTCTAATTGATTAGAGTTGATTTTAACTAGCTAAGATTGAAGGAAGTGAAGCTTCTATTAGTTAAAGGGAAAACCAATAAATTAAAGGAAGATTATTATTTGGAGAAAATTGAAAACCGAAAGTTTTTAATTGGGTAAATCCTCCTCTAATTGGTTAACACAGTATACAGAACTGCAAGATAGTGTGAGAAATACTCTAAAGCTTATTACAAGAAATTAAAGCTTGGGTTACAAACTTACTTTATAAAAACTTGCTGGAAACTATTAATTCTACTAGTATAGTGAAATTGGTTGAAAATCTTTGATTGAGAGATTAAGGTAGTGGATGTAGGTTAAAGGATCGAACCACTATAAATCCTTATGCATTGTCTACTTCTCTCTTCTCTTTTTTACTTGGTGTCTTTTAACTACAATTAGTTTTAAATCTTCTTTCCTTTAATTGATTAAAAGCTCTACAATTTAAAAAGGGCTAATCTTAACATTTTTAATACTATTTACCTCCCCTTCTAACACACTAACAGAACCAACAAGTGGTATCAAAGTCAAATTCTTAAAGTTAAGATTTAACATCTTTAAAGGAGATCCACATGGCTTTACAAAAGTTTATTGCTGCCGGGGGTTAATCGACAAATAGGTCTCCTTTATTTGATGGATCAAATTATGCTTATTAGAGAACTAGAATGTCTATCTATATCAGAATCCTAAATTATGAAATGTGAGATGTGATCATGAGAAGACCTTATATTCCCACCTCACCCAGTTTTGTCACAAGTGAGAAAATACCTAAACTAAGAGCTAAGTGGACTGAAGTTGAAGTAAAAAAAGTTCAAACCAACTTTAAAGCTATCAACAACCTCCATTGTGCATTAACCCCCATAGATAAAATTTCTAGTTATACCACAGCCAAACAAATTTGAAAAAAATTTAGGGTCATCAATGAAGAGACTTCACAAGTTAAAGAGTCTAAAATTATCTTACTCACTCATAATTATGAATGTTCAAAATGAAACTTAGTAAAGATATTTCTACCATGTTTGATAGGTTTACCAACAATACAAACAAACTCAATCAACTCGAGAAAGCCATTCTTAAACATAAGTTAGTGAAAAGATTACTCAAATGCTTCTCAAAAAGCTAGAAACCCAAAGTCACTACCATTCAAGAAGGTAGGATCTTAATATCGTCACACTTGATGAAATTTGTGGTTTACTCTTCATACATGAACTTGAAATGAATGAAGAAGAAGAGGAGGAAAAGAAAGAAGCTAAAGAGAAAAAGAAAAATCTCACACTTAAGATTAGCACACTTAAGGAAAACCTTAAAGAATTGTCAAGTGATGATGATGGAGAATTTGCCATGATCGCTAAAAATTTAGAAAGCTAATTAGATAAAAAGGCGGAAGGTTTGGAAGAAAAAATTTCAAGAAGAATCAAGGTTTTTATTGGAAAAACAAGTATAAGGGTGATCTCAGCAAAAAGGATGAAATGGTATGTCTTGAATGCAAAAAACTTAAACACTTTATATCATAATGCCCATTACTCAAGCAAGAAACTTCAAAGAAAATGAAAAATCAAAAAAAGTAATGGTGACAGTAACATGGTTTAATAGTGATTTTTTAAGTTCAAAGGAAGATAAAGAAAAATAAGAGAAAAGAGCAAACTTTTGCCTAATGGCAAAAAAAGAAGAAATTGAGGCACCATCTAACTCTTGTGATATTTCTTATGATGAACTTCAAAATGAGTATGAATGCTTATATGCTGAATTTGAAAAACTTGTTCTAAATATAAACTATGTGAAAGAAAACCATGGCTTTAAATGATGAGTTAGAGACAATCAAGCTTGAGTATAATTATGTTTTTGATCATAGGAGTATGCTTTAAATTGAACTTAAACAGTCCAAAATTGATTTTAAACTCTTCAAGTTGGAGCTAAAAAGCAACAATATAACCTTACAAAAGGTAATAGATGAAAATGTTGCTCTCAAAGCTTTAATGAAAGAAAACTTAAAACTGAATTTGGAAAATGAAAAGAAACCAAGAAAATTACAATGTTTAAAAAGAACAATAATGCATTCTTTCAACATTGTTATATGTGTGTCAAATAGGGACATTTATCTTATAATTGTTATCACAATGGAAATAGACTTTCCAAAACCAAATTGGTTTAAGTGCTCAAAGGATCTAATGTGTTGGTTAACCTTCAAAGACCCATCAAAGTATAGGCACCTCTAAAGAAAAATTGAAAATCTGTTTTGTAGGTTGAGTAAGGGCAAAAGGACAAATGTTTTTAAGCTTAACGAAAGGAAAGGTAGGCTTGGACTTGGACAGTGGTTACTCAAGGCACATAACAAGCAATGAGAACTTGATTGCTAATCTTGATAGAAATAAGAGTGGTAGTGTTTCCTTTGGTGATAACTCCAAAAGTACTATCCAAAGAATTGAAACCATTGGTAACATATCTCAAACCCAAATCAAACATGTTTTATTTGTTAAAGGTTTAAAACATAATTTGCTAAGTATCAGCCAGCTTTGTGATGGAGGATTTAAATTATGTTTTGATTCCCATGGATATCAAGTGATTGATATTGATACTAAAAAAGTAGCATTCATTAGCAAAAGAATTTAAAACATGTATGTTATTTTTCTTGATGAAATAAAGTCTAGTGAATCTTATTTTATTGCCAATGATGTATATGATAGTTGGTTGTGACATAGAAAAGTAGGTCATGCTAGTATGTATACTATTTCAAAACTCTTAAAAAAGGACCTCTTTATTGGACTTCCAAAAATAACTTTTGAAAATGACAAAGTTTGTAATGCATGCCAACTTGAGAAACAAGTAAAAAACTCATTTAAATCTAAGAAAATCATATCAACTTATAAACCACTTAAACTATCACAATTTGACTTATTTGGACTAATCACTTTTGCTAGTCTAGAAGGCAAGTCATATGGCTTTGTTAGTGCAGATGGTTATCTAGATAAATATAAGTATTTTTTCTTGCTCACAAACCTTTAAAAGAAATAGCAAGGATAATACTTTGT